TAGAAATAATATTGTACGAAAGCTGACTGGGATAACCTGGGGATCACAACCAGACACTGTGAGTAAATCTGCCCTTAGAATCATAGAATCAAAGAGTTGGAAGAGACCTCATGGGCCATCCAGTCCAACCCCCTGCCAAGAAGCAGGAATATTGCATTCAAATCACCCCTGACAGATGGCCATCCAGCCTCTGTTTAAAAGCTTCCAAAGAAGGAGCCTCCACCACACTCCGAGGGCAGAGAGTTCCACTGCTGAACGGCTCTCACAGTCAGGAAGTTCTTCCTCATGTTCAGATGGAATCTCCTTTCTTGTAGTTTGAAGCCCTTGTTTCGCGTCCTAGTCTCCAGGGAAGCAGAAAACAAGCTTGCTCCCTCCTCCCTGTGGCTTCCTCTCACATATTTATACATGGCTATCATATCTCCTCTCAGCCTTCTCTTCTTCAGGCTAAACATGCCCAGCTCCTTAAGCCGCTCCTCATAGGGCTTGTTCTCCAAACCCTTGATCATTTTAGTCACCCTCCTCTGGACACATTCCAGCTTGTCAGTATCTCTCTTGAATTGTGGTGCCCAGAATTGGATACAATATTCCAGGTGTGGTCTAACCAAAGCGGAATAGAGGGGTAGCATTACTTCCCTAGATCTAGACACTATGCTCCTATTGATGCAGGCCAAAATCCCATTGGCTTTTTTTGCCGCCACATCACATTGTTGGCTCATGTTTAACTTGTTCCCCACGAGGACGCCAAGATCTTTTTCACACGTACTGCTCCCAAGCCAGGCATTGTCCCCCATTCTGTATCTTTGCATTTTGTTTTTCCTGCCAAAGTGGAGTATCTTGCATTTGTCACTGTTGAACTTCATTTTGTTAGTTTTGGAAGTAGCAGCCAATAATGAAAGGACCAAGGCAGTGACATCTCTGACCCATTCTCTGTTCGGATATCAACCAGCACACCATAGCCTTAAATCAAGAAATAGCTTCCTAAGATCTTCAGAGATACTCGCAAGAACACCTCAGCAAGTGAGAGTCCAAAAGTGGCAGGCCAAAACCCGGAACCTCAATCAGTGGCTGAAATCAGATGAGAGACTCCCTCCTGAGTACACAGAAGACTGGGCAACTTGGAAGGTGCTGAACAGACTGTGCTCTGGCTCCACGAGATGCAGAGCAAACCACACCTACTACAATACAGTCTGAGCCCTACCACAGGCACAATGGAGAACCTCTTTATAGCAACACCAGAGGCACTCCAAGTGGCCAGCTTCTGGTCAAAGGACATTTAGTATAATGCCAAGTTTTTAACTTCATTTGTGTTTTGAAATACATGATAACTGTACCTTTATTTATTTATTTATTACAGGTACTTTTACCCCGCCCTTCTCAACCCTCGAGGGAGGACTCAGGGCGGCTTACAAAAAAGGCACAATTCGATGCCTATACACTTTAGACATAATATACAAAACCATGATTAAAAACAGTTATCACAATTAAAACAATCCACAACTAGTACATAACACATCATATAAAAACTATTCTCGTGCTCAGCGTTCCGTCTTTCAGAGTTCCATAGTTCTAATCCATTAATCATTTCCTAATCATCGTCAAAGTTCTTTCTTCCTCTGCCCAATTGTCCAAATGCCTGGTCCCAAATCCATGTTTTCAGTTTTTTCCTAAAGGAAAGGAGCGATGTTGCAGATCTAATTTCCCCGGGGAGTGAATTCCACAGGTGAGGGGCCAACACCGAGAAGGTCCTGTTCCTCATCCCCGCCAACCTCACTTGTGATAGAGGCGGGGGCGAGAGCAGGGCCTCCCCGGAAGATCTTAGACTCCGGGGTGGGACGTAAAGGGAGATCCGTTCAGAGAAGATACACTGGGCCGGAACCGTATAGGGTTTTGTAGGTCAAAACCAGCACTTTGAATTGTGCTCGGAACTGGATCGGCAGCCAGTGGAGCTGACACAACAGGGGGGTGGTATGCTCCCTGTATGACGCCCCGGTGAGCAGTGTGGCTGCCTCCCGCTGGACTAGTTGGAATTTCCAAGCAGTCTTCAAAGGCAACCCCACATAGAATGCGTTGCAGTAATCTAATCGGGATGTAACAAGAGCGTGGACCACCGTGGCCTTCAATTTGCTTCTGACACAATAAATAAATAAGCCACATGGCACACCTCTAGTTATTATTCCTGGTGAGGTCTCTCCAAAACAGAATACAGTGGGACTCTGACTTCCCTCCATCTGGACACTAAATTTCTATGGACATAGCCTGCGGCATCACACTGTCGATTCAGGTTCAGCCTTGTCGAATATGACTCCTATTAGGGACTGTTTCCAAGTCAGATTTTTGGTTCCATGCCCCACAAACGTCCCAATGAATCCTCTTCTGTCCCACTTTCCCTGCTGTCCTTAAAACATCCCAGATCCTCACCCCAATTCCCTGCATTGTCCTGCAAAAATAAAAAGGGGGAAAGGGGAATTATTGGCTCTCCAGCTGCTCTACCATGCTGTTGCCCTGTTGCATGAGGCAAACAATGCTTTTATTGTCCAGCCTGATGCGCCAATAGTATTCATTACTTTCCCCCTTTTGAACCGTTTCCGTTTGCTTTGGCCTCTTGTCCCTTTTCATCTTGGAACAGAAAAATCTGTGAAGGAAGGAAAAGACTGTGGATGCCAGTTCCTTCTAGAGCAGTGTTTCTCAATCTTCCTAATGCCATGACCTCTTATTGTGGTGACCCCAGAGGCGGCCCTAGGTAATTTTCAACGGTAAGCAAACAGTATTTTGGTGCCCCCCCCCCAACCAATCACTGATATATATTTTCTGTTTGTCGTGGGAGTTCTGTGTGCCATATTTGGTTCAATTGGCGGAGTTCAGAATGCTCTTTGATTGTAGGTGAACTATACATCTCAGTAACTACAACTCGCATATGTCAAGTTCTATTTTCCCCCAAGAGCACCTCAAGAGGGCCCCAGGGCAAAATCAACTATACTGCGAATGCTTACTTTGCGTAATGGTTAGCCACCCTTGGGTGACCCCCAACCATAACATTATTTTCGTTGCTGTAGGAGGACTTGAATAAGATTCCCCATTCTGGTCCTTGAAGAATGATACTAGTGAATACGGCTGTGCAATTTTTTTGTTAGTCATCGTAAGTCGTATCAAATTCGTTAAATTCATATTTACGATGCAATATGCGACACGTGGACATAGCCCGTGTTAAAAACTTAAGAATCGAAACTTACCCAATACTTTTTTGTTTGCATTTTGTAAATCTCAGATGCCTCCCAAAGTCAGTTTCATTTTCGGGGCAAGGAAGCAAAACAAAGCCAAAAAGGCTGCCTTTCCTCCTTAACAAATGGCCATACACCATGAGAAGAGGGAAGCAGCAGGGAGAAAGCAGACTTTGCGAGGAAATCGATGGGGAAAACACAGAACTCTGGGAAATGTAGTTTGGGAAAGCAAGGAGCGCTCTGGCAGAGAATGCAAAAGGCCCTGCCCTCAACTACATTTCCTGGAATGGGTTGTTGTAGGTTTTTTCGGGCTATATGGCCATGTTCTAGAGGCATTTTCTCCTGATGTTTCGCCTGCATCTATGGCAAGCATCCTCAGAGGTAGCCTCCTCTGAGGATGCCTGCCATAGATGCAGGCGAAACATCAGGAGAAAATGCCTCTAGAACATGGCCATATAGCCCGAAAAAACCTACAACAATCCAGTGATTCTGGCCATGAAAGCCTTTGACAATACATTTCCCAGAATTTTGCTCAGCATCAGGAAGCCCCAATAAAGAGAGGGAGAGATGTGTGCCTTCCTCACAGCAGCCAGCCAGAGTTCCAATGAATGGTTGGAACATTTCGCTACTCTTCTGAATTGTCATGCAAATATCTGATATGAATGATGTATTTTCATTCACTGGACCAAATTTGGCACAAATACACAATACGCCCAAATTTGAATACTGGTGGGGTTAGGGGGAATTGATTTTGTCATTTGGGAGTTGTAGTTCTGAACTCCACCAACGTTGGAACTGAACCAATCTTGGCACACCGAACTCCCATGACCAACAGAAAATACTGGAAGGGTTTGGTGGGCACCGATCTTGAGTTTAGGAGTTGTCGTTCATCTACATCCAGACAACACTGTAGACTGAAACAATGATGGATCTGGACCAAACTTGGCACGAATACTCAATAGATCCAAATGTGAACACTGGTGGAGCTTGGGGAAAATAGACCTTGACATTTGGGAGTTGTGGTTGCTGTGATTTATAGTTCACCTAATATCAAAGAGCATTCTGAAGATAGAATTGGACCAACTTTCCCACACAGAACCTCCATGTTTTGAAGGGACTTGCTGGCGTGAGCCCCCCTCCAGCCTCGCAAGCTATCTCTCGCCTGCACATGCGCACCCCGCTGCCATGGGCCGAGCACGCCTGCTCTCCCCTCCCCACTTGGGGTCTCAGAAACACCCCTCCCCTTGTCTGAGAGGCTGGCCAATCACAGCGGAGGAAGGCTTTTGGAGGGAGGATTCACAGTCTGTTTCCAAAAAGGAAGAGAAGGGCAGGTGGAGAGATCTTCAGTCTGCTCTGCCAAAGGGGTTCCAAAGGGATATATGCGTTTTCTGATGGTCTTGGACAACCCCTCTGAAATTCCCTCACAATTCTCTCAGGCGTCCTGACCCCCATGTTGAGAAACGCTGGTCTAGAGTTTAGCAATTCCCCTGCCCCAATTTTTAAGAATGACAACCACGTTAGAGTTCAAGATTTATTCCGTGCCCAAATTTGCATGGAAACAACAATTTCTAGTCACCGAAAGCAAACATTTTCTGCACGCAGGAAAGCTATATTGTTTTAATCACAGAGGATGCCAAACAACCACAGAAACGGTGGATTTTCTCCTCCATCCAGAAATCTCATCTTGGTTCATCATTTTCCAAATATCCTTTGGCCAGGTGCATTCACTTTGGGTTCTATTAAGTTGCATCCTGCAAAAAACAAAACAAAAGAGTGACTTACCGCGATAGCTTGCAGTCTGTCCTGCTGGATTGTACTTGTGTCGATGATCCTGAAAAAAACACAGGAAAGGCTTAGGACAAGCTTGGGTTTGCCACAGTCGGAGGAAGCGAATGAGAAAGAGGGAGGAAAAGAGGGAAAGTGGGATCTTTTCAAAGCCATTCAAGATGGAGATAGACGAAGTGTCCAGAGAAAGACAATCAAAATGATCCAAGGAAGCCAAGAAGTGGAGCAGCTAGGGATGTTTCACTTGGAGATGGGAAGGCTGAACGAAGGTGGCATAGGAGTCATATTTCAACATCTTAAAGGAGGTCACATTGTTTTCTGCTGGACTAAACGGAGCCGTGGATTCAAACGGCAGGAAAAGATATTCCATTTCAACATTAAGAAGTGTTCAAGAGTGGAATATGCTGCTTTCGGGAGTCTGGCAGCGTCTCCTTAGAATCATAGAATCATAGAATCAAAGAGTTGGAAGAGACCTCATGGGCCATCCAGTCCAACCCCCTGCCAAGAAGCAGGAATATTGCATTCAAATCACCCCTGACAGATGGCCATCCAGCCTCTGTTTAAAAGCTTCCAAAGAAGGAGCCTCCACCACACTCCGGCAGAGAGTTCCACTGCTGAACGGCTCTCACCAGTCAGAAGTTCTTCCTCATGTTCAGATGGAATCTCCTTTCTTGTAGTTTGAAGCCATTGTTTCGCGTCCTAGTCTCCAGGAAGCAGAAAACAAGCTTGCTCCCTCCTCCCTGTGGCTTCCTCTAACATATTTATACATGGCTATCATATCTCCTCTCAGCCTTCTCTTCTTCAGGCTAAACATGCCCAGCTCCTTAAGCCGCTCCTCATAGGGCTTGTTCTCCAGACCCTTGATCATTTTAGTCGCCCTCCTCTGGACACATTCCAGCTTGTCAATATCTCTCTTGAATTGTGGTGCCCAGAATTGGACACAATATTCCAGGTGTGGTCTAACCAAAGCAGAATAGAGCATGGGGAGCATGACTTCCCTAGATCTAGACACTATGCTCCTATTGATGCAGGCCAAAATCCCATTGGCTTTTTTTGCCACCACATCACATTGTTGGCTCATGTTTAACTTGTTGTCCACGAGGACTCCAAGATCTTTTTCACACGTACTGCTCTCGAGCCAGGCGTCCCCCATTCTGTATCTTTGCATTTCATTTTTCCTGCCGAAGTGGAGTATCTTGCATTTGTCACTGTTAAACTTCATTTTGTTAGTTTTGGCCCATCTCTCTAATCTGTCAAGATCCTTCCTTCTCTGGAGGTTTTGAAGCAGAGACTGGGTGGGAGGAGAATATTATTACAGTAGAGTCCCGCTTATCCAATCTTTGCTCATCCAATGTTCTGTATTATCCAACGCAGTCTGCCTCCCACCCAGATCCACAGCTGTTTCAATACATTGCAATGGTTTGGTGCTAAATTCGTAAATACAGTAATTACTACATAACGTCACCATGTATTGAATGGCTTTTTCTGTCGATTTGTTGTAAAACATGATGTTTTGGTGCTTCACTTGTAAACTCATAACTTAGTTTGATGTTTAATAGGTTTTTCCTTAATTCCTCCTTATTATCCAAAATGTTTACTTATCCAACATTCAGAACACCCGTTTATGTTGGATAAGTAAAACTCTACTGCAGGGGTCCTCAAACTTTTTAAACAGAGGGCCACGTCATAGTCCCTAAACCAGGGGTCCTCAAACTTTTTAAACCGGGGGCCAGTTCACTGTCCCTCAATTTAAAAATTCCTATGCACATTGCACATATCTTATTTTGCTGTGTGGAAGGGCCCTTAGAGGGGGTTCTTTCTAGCCCTCTTTAGGCAGTAATTCCAGGAGCAGATAATGGGAAATCTTCCTATTTCTAGTCTGAACAAAATCTGGCTACCAGTATTAAAAAACTCTAAAATTATAACTGTAAATAAAGAACAACACTCAAACACAGGGGAACTCCAGACAAGAAACAATCAGGGCCAGCTAATCACCTCTCAACAAAGGATTCTCCCTAAAAACTGTCAGGCTATGAAATGGTAATCAAGGTGGCCAATTGAAACATTCATACCTACCTCCAACAGACAAGAGTTCTTTCTCCCACCCTGGATCTTCCACAATTTTCCTAGTTAAAGGTTTTCCTCTGACATGAAGTCCAGTCGTGTCTGACTCTGGGGTGTGGTGCTCATCTGCATTTCTAAGTCGAAGAGCCGGCGTTGTCCGTAGACACCTCCAAGGTCATGTGGCCGGCATGACTGCATGGAGTGCCGGGGCAGCCTCCCTTGGCTGGCTCACGCTGCCCATTGGGCCCAATGGGCAGCGTGAGCCTGCCAAGGGAGGAGAAGCACCGCGCGGACCACTTGCGCGTAAAGCACCTCGCGAGGTGCTTTACGCGCGAGTAGGTCACGCGGAGCAGCTGTCCTTGGCTGGCTCACACTGCCCATTGGGCCTGACGGATAGCGTGAGCCAGCCAAGGGAGGGGCACTGTGTGGGGTGGGGGGCGCTCCTCCTCCGCAGGCCGGATAAGTGCCCTTGGCAGGCCGGAAGTGGCCCGCGGGCTGTAGTTTGAGGACCCCTGCCCTAAACTGTTGGTGGGCCGGATTATAATTTGAAAAAAAGCATGAACGAATCCCTATACACACTGCACATATCTTATTTGTAGCACAAAAAACAATTAAAAACAATACAATAATTAAAATGAAGGACAATTTTAACAAATATAAACTTATTAGTTTTTTCAATGGGAACTATGGGCTTGCTTTTGGCTGATGAGATAGGATTGTTGTTGTTGTGTGCTTTCAAGTCATTTCAGACATTTCAGACCCCTGCTCTACTGTATTATTATTATTATTATTATTATTATTATTATTATTATTATTATTATTATCTATACACATAATAAAAGTGAAAAAAGTGTGTATGTGTCTGGAGCATCCACTTACACAGATAGGCTCCCACTTCTGCAAATAGCTATTACTCAAATACCCACTACTCAGGAGACAACAATGGCGCTCCCGTCCAATGACACTGCAGGTTATAGTAAGCGCTATGAACATATACAAGAGCTGTGCCAATGTCCTCCACTAACACCATACTGCCCACCACCAAAGTGAAGGCTTTCATATAGGGACGATTTCCTCCTAGATTTTCTGTTTCCTCCACCACAGACATCCCAGGGTTTCTGACTTTCTCCATTGGTGTGGAATATGCATGACCCCACCCACTGCCTCTCCCATAACCCTTTCCTATTTTCTGTAGCACACAGCAAACAGAGGAAATGATCAGCAACTAAACATACTAGAGAGATTTGGGGAGAACACACCATGATTTAGAGGAGTTATAGGTACTGGGATGTATAGTTCACCTGCAAACTAAGAACTGCAACCTGAACTCCCCAACGATGGACCTGGAACTAACTTAGCACACAGGACCCCCATGACGAACAAAACATACTGGAGGTCTTTAGAGAGAATTTGATCTGGACCAAACTTGGCATGCATACCCTGGTACGCATACCCTGGTACGCATGCATACCCTGGTACACTGCGCTGACTCCGGCCCAGTGTACCTGTCTGAATGTATCTCCTTCTATGTCCCACCTCGGAGTTTAAGATCTTCGTGGGAGGCCCTGCTCTTGGCCCCGCCTCTATCACAAGTGAGGCTGGTGGGGACGAGGGACAGGGCCTTCTCGGTGGTGGCCCCCCGCCTGTGGAATTCACTCCCTGGGGAAATTAGGTCATCAGCATCCCTCCTCTCCTTCAGAAGGAAGCTGAAAACATGGATATGGGACCAGGCCTTTGGGTAATCTGGCAGACTGACAAGATAATGACAATCAGAAATTGGAAAGGACTATGGTAATGCTGAATGGACTTACAGATATTAGAACTTGGTGAACGTTGGCCACTAGATTGGCTTTTAATTGTTTTAATTGTTATTGCTTTAATTTATTGTTTTAACTACTGTGGCTATTGCTGTTATGTAATTTATTTGTTGAATTGTTGGCATCGAATTGTGCCGGTGTAAGCCGCCCTGAGTCCCCCCTCGGGGGTTGAGAAGGGCTGGGTGGAAGTGACCGAAATAAATAAATAAAATAAATACCCGATATGCCCAAATACTGGTGGATTTTGAGGGGAATTGGCCTGGACATTTTGGAGTTGTAGGTTTTATGGTTCACTAGGATTTATAGTTCACCTGCAATCAGTGAGCCCTCTGAACTCCACTAAAGATGGAATTGGACCACACTTGGCACACAGAGCCCCCTGACCAGCAAAAAATACTGGAGGTCTTTGGGGGAACTTCAGCTTTATTTGGGGGAGCTGTAGTTCACCTACATCCAGAGAGCACTGTGAACCCAAACACCAGTGGATCTGGACCAACATTTGCACACAGACCTGATATGCCAAAATTTGATCACTGGAGGGGTTTGCGGGGAACTGGCCTTCCTTTCTGGGAGTGGCCAGCTTCTGGTCAAAGGAAATTTAGTACAATGCTTTGTTTGTAGGTTGTTTTTTTTTTAATTACAACTATATAAGTGTACTAGCTGTCCCCTGCCACATGTTGCTGTGGCCCAGTCTAGTGATCTGGAAAATAAAGTAATGAGAAAGTGTTGGTTTCTAATATATATAATTTCTTTATGCTTGCGGGTAAACAGTATTTCTTGTTGTTTCTTTGTCAGTGTTGATGTGGAGATTGTCTGATTTGCCTACTCTGGGATATGCAACATATAATTGTCCTTCTTTAGGGGTCCCTTTCAAATCTATGATACTATCTCTGTGTGTGTGTGAATCATATATATCTATCTATATCTATGGCTGGATGGCTCTTTGTCAGGAGGGCTTTGATTATGTTTTCTTGCCCTCGTGAAGGGAGTTGGACTGGATGGCCTTAAGTATTTTCTGTTGGTCATGGGGGTTCTGTGTGGGAAGTTTGCCCCGATTCTGTCATTGGTTGGGTTTAGAATGCTCTTTGATTGTGTTGTTCATTCGTTCAGTCGTCTCCGACTCTTCGTGACCTCATGGACCAGCCCACGCCAGAGCTCCCTGACG